GGTAAGTGAATACAAATCTTCCATTCTTAATCATAAATCAGACTTTTGAAAAAATGTGTTTCTTTTGATGCAGTAGGGCCACTGAGGATATACTTCCCAGGATCCTATAGCAAGTTTTGGCTCCCTAAGTAGTATATCTATGAGAGAGCCATGCTTGCAAACAGGGCTGGCATCAGAGGACAAGATCCAAAGTCCAAAGGAGGGTTTACCATCAACCAGAGACGCTTGGCCCATCAGCTTTTCCAAGAAGTGGGAGCAAGGCCCCTGCAATATTCCAATATCTTTATTTCTGGCGGGGGAGGGGGAGTCACCTGGAGGATGTGGAGCGCAGTTCACACATGAGAGAACGATGCTTCATTGCCTCTCCCAAGGCACTCCTTCCATCAAGAAATGAGAAATCATCATAGGCACTTATACAATGTCATACAAAAGAGATATTGGGGGAAAGCAGCAAGGGAACAAGCAAGAGCCATCCCTCTGTGTCTCCCAGACAACTCTCCCACTAAGAAATGGCAGATTTATTACTCAAAGTCCCCTGAGAGATGAAAGGGGCTTCTGGGGCAATCTCCAGTTTCTTGGTAGGACAGGTTTTGGAGGGCATGAAGCAGCAACTCTTGGTGCACTCTTAGGACCTCCCTACTGACCCTAGGAGGAAAGCAGGTAGGGTGTGTGTTGCACACATGAATTTTAATTGAAGAAGCAAATGGTGGAGGAAGGTATGGCATACTGAGCAACAGCAGAACAGTAAAAAGCCCAGTAGCACCTTTAAGACTAACAAACTTTATTGTAGCATAGGCTTTCGAGGAATAAAGCTCTCTTCATCAGATGCATGGAGGGTATGAAGAAACTGGCCAGAGATATATAGGGGGTAAGGGGGGGGGGAGGACTCAGAAAGTGCCATGTAAATGCAAAGTAGTTGCAAAAGTCATGAAAAAGGTTGAATGTACAATCCAGGCTGGAAGTGACCCCTTCCTTCTATTGATGAATCTGAATGGAATACCTGAAAGGCAGTTACTTCTGTTAATGAGAGAACCATCCAAAGTCTCTATTCAATCCAAGTCTGACTGAGTCTGATTTATATATAAATTCCTAATTCAGCAACCTCCCATTGGATTTTGTTTTTGAAATGTTTCTGTTGAACTATGGTAACCTTTAAGGCCCTTGATGGAATGTCCTGGTAGATTGAAGTGGCCTCCTACTGGTTTCTGGACATTGCCATTTCTGATGTCAGATTTCTATCCATTTATTCTTTTGCATAGAGGCTGGCTGGTTTGTCCTATGTACAGAGCAGAGGAGCATTGTTGGCACATGAGAACATATATCTCATTGGAGGATAAGCAGCTGTAAGAGCCAGAGATTGTGTAGTTGATACCATTGGGTCCTGTAATCGTATTTTCTGGGTAGATATGTGGGCAGATTTGGCATCTGGGTCCTTTGCAGGGTCTGGTTCCTGTGCTGGTGACTCCGTTAGATGGTTCATAGTTGTTAGTGAGAAGTCATTTAAGGTTGGGAGGCTGCCTGTAGGCAAGGAGAGGTCTTCCACCCAGGGCTTGTGAAAGAAAGGCATCATTTTTCAGGATGGGCTGCAGAGCACTTATGATACATTGGAGTGGTTTGAACCGGGAACTATGGGTGACAACCAATGGTGTTCTGCTGTTGGTTCTTTTTGGTTTGTCCTGGAGTAGATGTTTCTGGGTACTAGTCTGGCCCTGTCAATTTGTTTCCTCACCTCATTTGGTGGGTACTGTAGTCCCAAAAATGCTTGTTGTAAATCTGTTAAGTAAGAATCCCAATCAAGAGCATTGGAGCAGATACGATTGTAACATAAAGCTTGGCTGTAGCCAGTCGACTGAGTGGTATGTTTTGGGTGGTAGCTGGAGGCATGTAGATATGAATATTGGTCAGTGGGTTTCCAGTATAAGGTGGTCTTTATCTGTCCATCATGTAGTTGTACAGTGGTGTCTAGAAAGTGTACCTGTTGTGTAGAGTGGTCCAGGCTCATGTTTATGGTGGGGTGAAAGTTGTTGAAGTCTTGGTGAAATCTCTAAAGGGCTTCCTTCCCATGGGTCCAAATGATGAAGATGTCATCCAAGAACCTTAAGTACAGGAATGGTTTTAGTGGATGGGAGCTGAGGAAGCGTTGCTTCAAGTCTGCCATGAATATGTTCGCATACTGTGGTGACATACATTTGCCCATGGCTATGCCATTGACCTGTAGATATAGTTATCACCAAATCTGAAGTAATTGTAAGTACAAAGTGGCAAAGTTCAGTGGCAATGTGTGCTATGGTTTTGTCTGGGATGATGTTCCTGATGGCATGCAGTCCATCTGCATGTGGGATGTTGGTGCACAGAGCCTCAACATCCATAGTTACGAGGATGGTGTTGTCGGGGAGGTTGTCAATGGACTGTATTTTCCTGAGAAAGTCAATAGTGTTTCGTAAGTAGCTGGGTGGGCTGATGGCATAGGGTCTGAGGATAGAGTCCATATATCCTGAGACTCCTACCGTGATTGTGCCAATTCCTGAAACAATGGGAAGTTCTAGATTACCTGGTTTGTGGATTTTGGGTAGTAGGTAGAATGTTCCTGGCCATGGATCCTGGGGTGTCATATAGATACATTTTTGCATATCCATGGGGAGTGTATTTAATATTGTATTGAGTTCTCTTTTGTATTCCCCGGTACAGGCAGCCACTGAAGTGCTTCTTTTCCTGGCTATGATCAAGTACTTTTACATTAGTGCAAAAACTAATTAATATTGTTGCACCCATTTTGTGGGTTCTTTGTGTTCTTGCTTCTTGTAGCATTCCGTATGTTGTTTTATGACTCATTAGCAAGTTCTCACTATTAGTGCTTATACTCTAAGTATCAATCTTAGATGTCATTCAGTCAGGCACTCTTCCCGTCTTTAAAAACAATACTGTAGTTCAGAACTTAAATCTTAAGTTTTGTTCAGCCTGAAAGCTATTCTGTAGAACTGCATGTTATTTGTTTAGTGGGGCAGCTGGATTGCGTTTGAGTTCAGTTTATCAGCATGTTATTGGACAGCACCATTATTTCCTCAGAGCTGGGGCCATAAATTCCATTTTGGTAAACAAAATGCCCTGGTCTGGATGACCCAGTCTAGCCTGATTTTGTCAAATCCCAAAGATAGAAAGGGTTAGTATTTGGATGGGAGACCACCAAGGAGGTCCAGGGTAGGGATAGGCATGAGCCTCATCACAAACCTAATTTCGTGACAAACATAGCTGGTTCGTGCCCATCCCTATCCAAGACCCTCCACATGGTTTTTGGAAGTTCGCTGTGAGAAGCGGGAGGGGAGGCAAGAGGGATCGCTGAAATGGCTTGCATTCATTTCAGCCTAACAGCAGGACTTGTGCACCCATCAGCTGTTAGGCTGAAATAGATGCAAGCCATTTCAGCAATCCCTTTCAGTCCTCCCCCCCCCCCCAAGCATTCTCTTTAAATGACAAGCAGTCACCCAGAAGTGGTGAACTCACTGCTTGGACTTCAGTCATGTGTGGCGGTACTTGCAAAAGCCATTTAAAGGGAACATTCCAGCAGAAAGGAGGGAGGGAAGACCACCCTACCGCATTATGAACCTCACAAAATGCTTGTTAAACGGGGAGGTTCATTAAGGTTTGTGGTTTGTGTGACACCATAAACCGGGATGAACTTCCACTTTCCCAGTTCATGCCCATCTGTAGTTTATATTGAGACAAATATTAGCTGCATATCAGTGCTTGAACAGTTCAGGTGTGTAGAACTTGCACCTGTTGAGGCCCCCAAATCCCTGTTTTTCCCTGTCTGCCTTGGAGCTAGACTATAGGTAGCTGGATGTATTTGGCTTGGAAGGTCACGTCACAGGCCTGGAATAGCAACTCATCCAATATGTGATTAGTTTGTTTGAAAGATACGGGGAATAAACATGTTTTTAATTCTGCCTTGCCTTGTAAATTCACAGTGCTTAATGATTTTTCTCCTGAATTTACAATAACTATGTAAGCCTCTTATGAGATTGCTTATATGAAAAGATAATTGGAGCAAGTTTTGTGTCATATGAAAAAAATTGTTTTCTGCTAATTAAAAATCTTTGTAAATCATTACCAACGGTGAAAAGGCAGGGGAATATAGTTGCCAAGTTCCTTTAAAGGTTTTTTTAAAAAAATCTTTTTTATAAAGATGACAAAAATAAAATGTGAAAAAGACTGCCATTGTTAGTAGCTCCATTTGGATGAATGTGTTCTCTTAAAATGAAAGACGTTTCTTTATTTTTAAAAAAACTTAAGGTAGAAAAAAGTAGTTATTTGAGATAGTACAGAAAATGGTATTATTTAATTTCTAGTTCTGTGCATAATTAATCAACACAGTGCAGGGAGACAATGACTATAACTGACATTTTGCAGCTAGACATTTCTTGTTTCCACCTTATATTTGAAGGTGTGACATAAAATAAAACAAGGCAATGCTAGTAAAATGTAAAATACAAAAAACATCGTCTTATAATTTGCATTTGAAGTGCAGTCTCACTAATATAACCACTCTTCTGCAAAGACTAATATATGGCCCAGTGGTCTCCTGAGACAGTTAATAAATGGACATTTGGAAGTCATTAATTTGCAAATCTAATATGGATTTCCTAGGCATGGGTAAAGATATTACATGACTACTGCTATGAATTTGCTTCAGTATCTGCACACGTTTGAAATCCTTGCTGCCCCCCCAACACAAATAGAACCAGATTTGTTTATTTGCAGGCCTCCATCCACAGCCATGTCTATATCGCTTGCTGGAGAACCAGAATTCCTACATGAAGACAGGAAAGGTGGAGAGAACATAAAAGCATCCCATCTAAGTGCATCAGGTTGGGAACCATGCTAAATTATTGTGCTTTTTCTTAGCCATCTTGCAGATAACTGGGAATCTGGATAAATAGAACAGTTATTCTGGCTTCTCTTGCTATTGGACTGTATGGAAAGAAACAAAGGTTTTCATACTGAATCATACTTAATATTATCTAGGGAGGAAAAGGTATGAATAAGACAGATGCATTAATGTTGATTTGTACAATCAGGGGAACGTGTACCTCTTCAGAACTGGGATGATTTGATGTTTGAAGAACAGGTACTTGAAAACTGAACTCATCTTTGTTTGCAAAGACCATTCTGACATTTCCTGGGGTGAATACTTTAATATAACTTCATCTCACCAGTCACTGCTCTAGAAGCTTCACTTTCCCATCTCTGCACTGCAGTGGGGAGACCATAAGGAAGAATGTTCTGGGATAGAATTTGACTTCGATAGTTGTGATATGAGGTAAACTTGGCAGAGAGAGAATATGGTTTTTCCTTTAAATAGTTAATTAGATAACACAACTGAGGTTATTGACAGCTCAAATTGAGATATAGGATTACCGGGTTTTATTTGTAAATGCCAAGACACCCCTTTCATAGCAGGCCATAATAATTTTGTTACAAACAAGTACTCTGTGGCCTTCTACATTCAGTTTCAGAGGACATAGTAAAAAATTTGTTCCCTGTACAGGTCCCTATCCCTCTCTCCTGTAAAACTACATCTAACCAACCCTCATCTCCAACTGACAACTTCCCACTGAAAACTCAACTGTCACTCCTGATTGTGCTTCCCAGACTCAGCTCTTGGAAGTTCATTGGAGCTCCAATCTCACTGGCTCCTGTGTTGCTGGGTGGTTTTTACTGTTCTGTCTCACCTGTTTTCTGTTCAGTTGAGCATCTTGTGTGTTTATATTGATGTTTAGTGTGAACAGAGTTTGTTTGCAGTCAGCCACTTCAAAAAGATTTTGCAGAGATGACAGCAAAATTAACTATATACATTCAAAATAAGCAAAGTAGTTTTGTGTCTGCACATTGGCAGTATTCACTGTGGCAGGTGGCTGGGTAGCTGCTGTTGATACATGCTGACCATTTACTAAGTTGCTGGGACATCATATGCCACTACCCCAGCAGGATCAAGATAATCAAAGAAAGCACTCCTTTTGGAAGCTGATTTCTGTTGTTAGGATCATTGGCCAGATGGACGAGGGGGATAGCCACATGAAAACAGTACAAGAATGTGCATGTGCAAAGGATGCAGGGCCCATAAGGGTCCAAAATCACATGGCTGAAAACCCCTGTAAAAATAACTTGTAGTAGTGCCTTATATCAGCATTATGTGCATGGAGCACAGCTGCTTAGTATGGATAAGAGATGTGGTTAGCATTATCTATTCATCTAATCAAGAGAAATCTAAAAATATAGAGATCATCAACATAGTTATGCACACCAATATTTAGAGAAATATCTGTCAGTTTTCATCAGTCCACTGTCTCCTCATATGCTTTAAGATACTAATGCTGTAGAATATTGAGTTACCCATGAAGGAGAGATTTCAATAAGCAAATACCTACATTACTGTTACTCAGTATAGGAGAGAGCATTCATCTTACGGAGTAACCACAACAGCATTGCCTGACTTCATTTTTTGCAGATCTTGCAACAAAAAGTACTTCTATCCCAGATGAACTTGGAGCATGTGGACATTCTAGGACATCCAGCTATGCAAGCCAGCAGTCAAAAGTGTCAGGTAAGAGATACTTTAGATGTGATTAAATATGTTCACTAGTTCTTATGGATCTGTAAACATTGTAAAAGAAGAGGGGAAATAAAAGCTCAAACATCTTCGTTTGTGTGTGTCTCTTGAATGTATTTTAAGTGGAAACCATTTTTTAAAAAAATACAGTTCATGTGGGTTACGAGAATAGTGGGTAGGGATGGCTTTCCTTTCTTTAATAGTATCTTGGGTCATAGAATTTAAGCAGGTGACACTCTTCCCACCACATCTCCATGATGGGAACAAATTAATATCCTGAATTTCTGGGTGTCAGACTGCTATTAAAGGCCATAGGGGCAGGGTTTGGTTTAAAAAAGTAGCAACTGAACATAAGGGGAGTGTAAACCAGAAAATGAAATAAGACATTACATTTCATGAGTGGGTACTGCAAGCATGTAGAAGAGCAGATGTTAAGGTTAGCCAATGCTGCTGAGTCATCACAAGCATGAAAGGTGTGGTGAGTCATTGGTAGCTGAGATGAGATCACTAAATGGATGCTAGCTATTTAGGGTGTAGTTATACAAATAAAAACTGCATGTTCAAGATGGGGTAGAAGTGGGAATCCTGCCCCTCATGGATGTATAATCCCTTGGTATCAAATTAATGTCCCTCTGAATTGTTTTCTTCTAGGTTACAGCACCTGCCATTCCAGATCATCTAGCATCTCTGATCTCTGCCATAAGAGAAATACCTCTGCAGGAAGTACATCAACAGGTATAGGCAGTATTCTAGAACCCTGTGAAGAGAATGAGTCCAAAAAAAATGAGGAAGATGCAGCCTCAGAAAAAACCAACAGGTATAACATAATTTTTTCCAGTTTTGCTGAAGTATTTTTAAGTAAATGTACAGAATAATGCTGTAATGATTACAGTGTAATCTAAGACTAAAATGTTTCATAGGCATCCAGTAAAACAGGATTCTGTAGAGTCACAGCTGAAAAGGGTTGATGCTACCAGAGTCGATGCAGATGATGTCGTTGAAAAAATACTGCAGAGTCAAGACTTCAGTTTGGACTCAAGTGCAGAAGGTTTGTAATATGCAAATAAATTATAACTATAAGTAAATGCTAAAAGATATACATAAGGACCAAAAGAAATCCTAATTTTACAAATATTCTGATGGTGGGAACTGACCAAGAAAAAAAGCACATTCCATGCTAGGGATCAGCAGGAAAGGGGATTGAGAATTAATTAAATGGCATCTTACAAGTCCTGTATTCCAAGTCCTGGTGTGGCCATTTTTGGCATACTGTTTACAGTTTTGGTAACCACCTTTAAAAAGGACATTGAAGAGCTGGAGAAAAGTGCAGAAAAGGGCAACCAAAATTATTATGGGGAGCACCTTCCCGTGAGGCAAAGCATTTGGGGCATTTTAGTTTTTAAAAAGGCAACTGATAGGTGACATGACAAAAATCTACACAATTGTGAATGGTATTTGGATAGACACTTTTTCCTGTCCTATAACACTAGAATTTAGTCACCCTATGAAACAGGTTGGCGGTAGATTCAAGACATACAAAAGGAAGTACTACTTCAGTCAGTGAGCAGTTAGCTTGTGAAACTCAGTGCCCCAAGATGTGGGTAGGTCTATCATTGACTATCAGCCACACCAGCTGAATACAACTTGTGGATTAGGAGGCAGAATGCCTTTGAGTGTCAGAGACTGGGGATCAGTCAACAGGTGAGGGCAGTTGCTAGCAGGTCCTGCTCTTGGGATTCCCTATGGCACCTGACTGGCCACTCTGGGAACAGAATGCTGGAATTAACCATTGCAGGATCCAGCAGGGCTCCTCTTATGTTCTTAAAATTGGTGACAGGTTCTTAGTGGATGGCTACAAGCTTCTACCTTCCTAACTGTGCAGTCTGAACCCCCGTAACATTCCTAAAACTACAAAGTAGGAAATCACTGGGTGCCTAATACATGTTAAGCAGTCCAGAAATAATGAAAAGCTCAAACTGTGTAGGAAATGTGTTGTCCTGTTCGCACCCATGGACTCAAGGCAGGCCAGAGTCACATCAAGACAGAGATAGCAAACACTGTCAAAATTAAGATGGGTAGCCGTGTTAGTTTGTCTGTAGCAATAGAAAAGAGCAAGAGTCCAGTAGCACCTTAAAGACTAACAAAATTTGTGGCAGGGTATGAATTTTCATGAGCAATGACTCATGAAAGCTCATACCCTGCCACAAATTTTGTTAGTCTTTAAGGTGCTACTGCTCTTTTCTACTGTCAGAATTGTGATCCCACAACAGCCAAGCTGAGCTGAGGTTATTTATAGGAGTGAGTGCCTGCAGCTGTAGCAATGGGCTGGAGTCTGCAGGCATTCATAGCTGAATCTTGTCCAGCATGATGAAGTGCCTTATGGTGGATCTAGTCCTCCAGATGCCTTGTGGCCAGCAGAAAGGCCTTGGGCAGCCAGCAGTGCATTTTGCCACTGCCCAGCCTTTTTGTCTTCTCTGTTCTCAGGGTCCCAGAGGTGACTTTGGCAATTGGCCACTCTCCTTTATGGGTCCCTTAGCAGTCTCAGGTTCTGGTGGTAGCTTCTGGTCCAGTAGCTATAGCTGACTGCAAGTTCTCTGACAACCCAGGGAGGGCGGTCTGTGAGGTCCCAGGTACCTCAGGGTCTTTCGTGGTTTTGTCCTCTATGGGATCTACCACCCTGGTGTCCTCATCCTCTGAGGACCCATTCCCAACATGTGTCATCTAAATACAAATTATTTTTAGTACTAGATATTGTAAATAAATTTCTGGAGTTAACAGTTACCCCAAACAATGCAACAGTATTTTTCATTTTACGTTTTTTGTTCTTTTCAGAGGAAGGGCTAAGACTCTTTGTGGGTCCTGGAGGGAGTACTGCCTTTGGAAGCCATCACTTACCTAATAGGTATGTCTCTTAACAGTACTTAGGGAAGATAATATCAAAGTATGTCTGTGACACATAAGCACTGGTGGGGGGGAGACCTGAGAGTATGCTGCAATGCCTAAAAACTTCCAAGGTGCCTCTCTAGGCCCCACTGCCATGCTGCTGTAATACTCACCAATGGTCTTAATTTTAGGTTTGCTTGCTCTGCTCCATTTCATTGGTTAAGAAAACTCAAAGCACTGTGATGTCACCTCTGCATTCCTCTCCATTCTTGCATCCCCTTCTGACCCCCAGAAAGATCATTATTGAGATTGCAAGATCCATGCAGAGGAACAGCTGTGCAGGTCAATGGGCTGGAGGGAGGAAGGACAAAGGGATACAATTGACCTCTTCTCAGCTGAGCAGAATACTTGGAAAAGGCAGGAGGAGCAATTTCATCCCCTTGTTCTTCACTCCAGCTCCCCCACCCATACAGCCATCGGCCCTGCAGCTATGGGAATTATTTTTTCTGGGCTCAGAGGGCTGCAAGAACAGAGAAAAATGTAAGAATACTTCACATTTTAGGCACAGAACAGCAAGGTCCCATGCTTTTGTCTTGTAAAATTTAGTCCTGCCGTATGCATTAAAATACTGTTCCAGGCTGTGCTGCTGTCTAGTAACAGCTTTTTTTGTTGATCTTTCAGAGTGGGATCTGGAGCATATGAACAAGTAGTGATTAAACGCTAGAAGAACTAGACTAAAATGACACAGTAATCTTTGGAGTTGCAGAACTTGCATAACTCCAAATACTGTCCAAGATGGGCTCTTCTGAAGTGCTGGTTTGCAGTTGCCTGGATTGTCCATTTGAGTTTGTCATATGGAAAATGCCCTCTTCTGTATCTGCAGAGGCAGTTTTCTTCTTTTGATATTTTGTGAACAATGTGTTACCTGATGTTGGTGGATTTATTGCATTGTTCTGTAAGTGTTCAGATTTCCCTTTTTGAAAATGAGATAAATGGTGTCTAACTGAACATAATATGTTGAAGTTACTTGTTAGTATGTATGGAAATGCATTCAACAACATGCTGTATTTGCTACTTGGCTTTTTTTTTTTAAAGCATGAAAAGTAAATCTTGGTCACAAGTCATCTATTTCAGCCTCCCCCCTCCCCCCACAATAATCTTACCTTTTTAGTATCGGCTGATTGTTTCTGTCTGATGGAACAGAATTAATGTAAAATGGGAATTTCTGGTTCAAGGATATCCCTGCCAGCTGAGCTTTTAGGAAATAAGATTTAATACTATTACAACTGAGCATAACTTTAAGGCCAAATTGCATGGGAGAAGGACTACTCTGTTATTTTAAAGGCTTGGTTCTGAGTATGTTTAATAAGATATATGCATGCACTGATTGCTGGTTACAGTAAAACATTCAGTGCTAACAAAGAGGCTTTGTGTCCCAAAACAAACTACATCTTTAGGTGTTCACTGAGAACATTGACCTCATTGGGTATTCTGCGGTGAACATCTGGGAGCATGTAGTAGTATGATGTTTAGCTCATGGAGTATTAAAAAATAACAATTGAAAGAGTGCCTTGTTGGGTGGGGGGGACAGAATACCAAACAAACAGTGAACAACTGAAAACTACTTCCACTAATCAAGAAAAGCACTTTAAGCAGCAATTTTCTTCATCCAATCTGAAAATCAAACTTTCCCCCCTTGATTAGAGGATTGATGACTTGGGCCCAGTATGCAGCCACAGGCATATAATTTACTTGTGAAGTTTCTCCCCCCAGTTTGCATCACATTTAAAAGGTGTTTGCCTTATTCAGGGCTGTACATGTGCACTGATGTTTATCACAGCCCTCAACTCTGTGCACATAAAGGCCAGGCCAGCACATGGAGCAAGTTATCTCTTAAATGTAGGGGGGAGCTTTGCGGCTTACTGCTGGGTCACATTGAAAGATGATTTCCTTTAGGTCTCCTGTTTTACTGAGCTGTACTTGAACAGTCTTTGTTGATAGCAGTGGAACTCGTGTTGTGAAAGGTCCTGGTGGATTTGTGAGTGACCAGTATTGCAAAGATTTGCACAAGTGAAATAGTGCAGTGTATCTCTGCATCTATTTAGAATTTAGATTTTTTTTCTCCCAACAAATTTACTGACAGCTTTAACCTGTATTATTTTTTGTGAAGGGATTTGTAAGGCAAAAGACCACCAACAACTTAGGAGAATCATCAGCTGTTAGTAATTTAGCTTTGATGTCACTGTGGTTGGTTACTGGAACTGATCCATAGGTTTCAAAACAATATGGCTTATGAGAAATTAAACTATGCTAATTTTTACTTACAGTGAATATGGAACATCTAATATTTTTACTGGTTTCGTGGAATCAGGCAATGTTCCATTTCTTTTTGAAGAAATATAGGATAAAAATGAAGAAAATGTTTTATGTTTGTGACTTAGTTTTATAAATGTACTGCATATTGATGAACTCCATTTTTATTTAAATTGTACATGTGAACTGTTAAAATCAGAACCATTTCTTTATTATGGTACCCACAAATAACTTACTGCTGTATAAAGCATTTTATTAAGTTTGAAATGTTCTGAGTTTCAGTACAAGAGATTTCATTTTTAGATTCTGTTAAAATAATGTAGAAGGAATACACAAGATTCATTTTGAAATGTAAATTGTTCTGGGCAAAACTGAGCTTGCCTTTAGTGTGTAACTTTCTAAAAAATCAATAAGGATAATGTTTCCGAGGAATATTGCAAGTTTCTAAAAAATGTCAATACTGGACAACTGATTTAGGGAGACAAGTTGCCATGAGGAGACAAAAACTAAACTGATTTATTCAGTATAAGGAATGGCCATGGTACTTGTAAAGGGAAGAGTCTATGACCTCTAATGTTTTAATATGATCAGCTATCTGATCATTTATGATTATTATTTATGGATTCTGCATTCAAATACAATGTTGGTCATTTCCTGTGACAATACACACATTGCCTGATAGCTGAGTCTGTAGGAAGACAATTGTCGTCTTGTACCCATCACATTATTGTTAGATTTTTTTAAAGTCCACATGGAAGTTCAAACAGCTAGTGGGATGTTTGAACAATTATCATGCACTTTTGTCAATCGAACCAATTTTATGAAGTGATTCCATTTGTGTCTCTATGACATGGAAAATGACCTTCGTATTTGTATATGGCATTTATTTTGTGTAAACTGTACAATATCCACAATTGCTAACCCTTTAAGTCAATTTTTTACCATAATTCTCTTGGTGTAAAGCTCTTAAAACTCAATAAAAATCTTTGACCTACAAGTTGCGTGTGCTACTTTTCCAAATCTGTAAGCAAAATTCTTCCGGCTGTACAAATGGTAGTTTGTTGTCCTTTCTAAAATCATTGACCCCGCAGTTGCAGTATTTTCTCCATTTCTCTCTTCCAAATAACAAGAATAGCATGAAGAAGCTAAGGAGTGACAGTTTAGGTAGCTTCCCATTTTCAGTTGGGGGAGGGGGGGTTGAAAAGTTATAAAGCCCCAAGACAGTGTAGCTCTATTCTTTCGGCCTAATGCTTTTGAAATAAGTATGCCATTGGGGTTACAGAATTAAATCAGATGGTGACTTCTCATGCTCAGCTAGGAACAGCCTGTGTTTTTTTTAAAATCTGTTTCTATCAGCCAAACACAAAAGTAGCACATTTGTGGTAAAACCTGTATATTGGCATTGCCCGCCTTTTGCCTTTAATTGATGGCCAGCAAAACAGGTATGATACCAGTCTGTGTAGCCACCAAAATACTTAACTTGTTCCTGATCTCTGAAAATTGTCTAAACACTTTAGTTGCCTTCTTTCATCTATACTGGAATCATTATATAATTTAGTCTGATTTGAATGCTAAAGAAATTGAGTATAAAACTGTCCTGTATGATTTACATTGGACCCTGAAGTTTGGTCATCTTTGTTGCCTTCAGATTAGTTTATTTGAATGTTACTTGTCATGCTCCATCACTCTGACGCCTCTCATATTTTTATACAGCTTTCTGTGAATTTTTATAACAGTATATTTTATTTTGGAGGGTTACCAATAGAACACTATATGTTTATATATTACTTGTCATGCTCCATCACTGACGCCTCTCATATTTTTATACAGCTGTCTGTGAATTTTTATAACAGTGTATTTTATTTTCGAGGGTTACCAATAGAACACTATATGTTTAAATGTTTTAATCCTCCTTATCCTACCTTACCACAACTCAGAAAAGTTAATTTCTGAAAGTTATTATGTGAGTTAGAACGACTCCATCTGCTACATCCCTAAATTTCAGCATCTCTATTAATCTTACTCTTTATTTTATGCAGCTATGGAATGTTGTCGTATTCAAAGGCAAGCCTGATGTTTACTGGACACAAGCCTCTGGAATCCACACGCAGTTATAATCAAGTAAACAAATGTCACATTGAGGGCAGAGCCTGATGCTTTTTACTCTGCCCAGGGTTTCCAGGCGACACAAATGCAAACACAAAAATTCAAGGCAAGAAATAAGAGCAAGGTCAACAAGCCAGCACAGAGTCAGAAAGCTGAAGGTTCTGTCCACAGGTCTGGGGAAACAGGGAAGTCGGGGGTTCAGGGTCAAAGCTTGGGATTCAAGGCAGAAGACTGTGTTTGGGTTCCTAACTGAAAAACAAACACAAGTTAGCTGAACAAGTTTCAATGCAGAAGTCTTTTTGCTGAGCAATCAGCTCACAGAGGAATGGCAAGCAGAGTTGCTTCCACACGCTGAGCCTTGGACAGCATCTTCCTTTTATCAGCCTATTAGATGACTCAGCCCTGAAGCACAGGTGTCACTTCTCACTGACTTGTGACTCCTGCTCTGCTTCAGAAACTAGTGCTGACCGCTGTTGAGCAATTAGCCACGCATTCCTCCATCTCTCATGAGCTGTGAAACATACCCAATGTTGCCTATGCTCAGCTGGTACAGGAGATACTGACTTTTGTCTTCTTTCTTTCATTTCCAGTTCGAATGAGTAACCCTGAACTATACAAACCAGACGTTGCTGGCCATTAAAAAAATGAAATTCATGAAAAAGCAGCACTAAGTTCCTGTTACATCTCTAGCACCTGTGCTTACCTTTATCTTTCCCCTGAGTAGTTATCCCTCTACCGCGCAATAGTGATTTCAAAGACTCCAGGAAGAAGCAGAACTGTGACTAAATTAAAATCTGCAAGACCTTGATATAACAAAAGCAAAGTAGTGATAAGGAAGCCTTCTGCTTGTTCAAGGAGGATGCTGCTGCAGTACTACTGCAAAGGGAAATACTGGATTGCAAGGGAGTAGGAAACTCAGAATGCACTAATGCATAGTTTTCATCCACACAATAGATTTAGTCTGCAGCTCATTTTATTCTTTCATCTTTTGCATGTTCACTGCATTAAAACCAAGCACAAGGTTAATCTGCATTCCAAGAGCACAATGAAGACATCTTCCCTCAATACTGTGCTGTTCCTGTTACAAGAGAATATCTTATTTTTCCCAACAGTAGACTTGGATATCTGGTGCAAATGTGTATCCCCCCCCAAAAAAAAATTTCAGAATTTCTTGGGACTGGGATCGATATTTGGGAATCCCAACAATATTGTTAGCTTAGTTCCAAATATTTTGGAATATCTTAAGCCCAGCATTTTAAAGATCCAAAGTTTGGTTTTGTTCTTTTTTTGCAGGTTTCCTGGGAATGGGGAAACAGTGTTCACAGGCAAATGGGATCATGTTAGGGGGAGTTTGGGATTTTCTGGTTTGACGGCCATTCTGTTGGGCTTGTTTCGTCACACTGGCCCTTAGTTTTACTTGGCTTCTGTAGTTTGAGTTAGGTTCTGCCAGGCTGGAAATGGTGTCTGTTCCCTTAAGTTGGTTTGCATGGATTTTCTGGTTTGACGTTGATTCTATTGGGCTTGCTGGTGGTTTGCATTGGGACACTTTTGGCCACTGGTTGGTTTCTCTTGTGTGTTTGGCTATTCCTTGCCCTGGAGAAAACATGAAACTCCCCCCCCCCCCAGGAAATAATGTCACCTTTTCTGGGGGTCCACAGAACTGGTACAATTACTTGGGGATCTTTAGTGAGCAGGCATTGCCAATTCTGCTATAATTTTAGTGTCCTTTGTTTTAAAAAGGCCACTGCAGCCTCCCTATACAGAACAATTTCAGAATTTTTAACCAATCAGTTTTTTTTCCTGGCACACATCTTCAATTAGATGCTCTTGCTTGTGTATACGGAAAAGGTACCTCTACTCCCACATAAGAGTGTCACCTTTTCCATATACTGTGCACAATGTCTTTGTATATGGTACAGATGCACACAGGACACTAAATTAATTTAAATTCATTATATGGGCAGTGGGTATGTACTAATTCAACACTGATTTTGTACTAAGTAATAGGAATAGGGCTACCCTGGGTACCAGGTTTCTGCTGCAGATTTGCTGATGCTAGAACCTTTATAAAACTCTTAAACACCCCGCACAGCACTCTAATTTAGGATCAAAATATATAGCTTCTACAGGAAACAATGCCACCTCCTGGTAGAAAGTGATAGCAAAGGACTAGTTTTGATTTTTTTTGTTTTTGAATATTTTTCTCTCATTTCAGACATTTTTTCAACATAGAAAATCCATGCATAAGGACTTCACTAGTACAGGGAAAGGACATGATGACTGTTATTTGCCAGATGTACTTATGTGCAGAACGTACACACAGGATGAAATATTGCATGGGCAGCAGTATTTTATACTTCCTAAAACATAACACACCTTTACCTACAGTCAGCATGAAGCAAACCACCCTGTGTATATGCAGGATAGCATCAGTTAGTTCACTTCAGTGTTTCAAATGAGAGCAGCAGCCTATTCAACAGAATAGGCTACATAACTAAGTGTGACAGACAGGAGGTTGTCCTGCCCTGAAGGAAAAAACAGTCCCTTGGTTGTCTCATACTTAAGCCTAGAGGAGTGTTGCTCCAGCATCCAACCACCTTTCAGAGGGGAAGATGAAAGCACAGCTGTAGTTGGTTCAGGTCTGCCTCAGGGAGAGAAGACAGTTTGGCAGGTAGTGCTCCCTGGTAGCACAGCAGAGTAGCTTAGTCCTACCTCTGGGAGAGGACAGAGTAGCTGGTTGTGAGGCCTGTCTCTGGTGCAGACCTCATACTGTTTAGCCTGACTCTTGGGAAAGGGCAAGCTGGTGTGGGTGGAATCTCTCTATATGAAAGGATCAAAAAACCCTGCTCTTAAAGCCATATTTAGCTTAAACATCTGTGCCTCAGCCAGGCTTCCCTTGACCATCTGGGCTCTGGAGCCCTGTGCTGCTGATCTGTTCCTTAAAACCAACCTGTTAATAAATAATCTTTGTTATTTGCATATAACTGCATCAGTGATCTCCGCGTTCTTCTTGCTCCCCACAAAACTTGCCTCATGGTAATGAATCCAAAGCCTTTACAGTTGCTACCCTAAGATCATCTTATAACTGAGAGGAAGGTTTGCAGTTCAAAACAAACCTGGTTCCCCAAAATCGTAAGAGGCTGTGTAGGTCCTCTCAGTTGCTGGAAAGGGCCTGCAACACCAAACTTTGGGACTGGGCACTTAAGGAGCAGGGCTTACTGCCTGGTGTTGGTTTCATCTTGACAAAGGCCGCTGTCTTGATGGAGGTTTATGTGTGAGAAATATGGGTTAGTTCCTAGTTTAAACAAAATTATTCTTTTACTACGTGGTAGCAAACCACTGGAGGGTACCATTAACAATTTAAATGTTGCTACCAAGAAACACAGCCTGTTGTATTATTTGTGCTACAGGACAACTCATCCTCATTATGTATAGCAAAATATTTTTTTCACTATTACCAGACATACTTACACTGAAAACTTGTAGAACTTTTAGGCTGAAGAAAAAGAAAGTGTTAACATGCCATAAGATGTTCCATTATTCACACAAAATTGGGGGGCTATTTTAACTTACAGCCCATTGTAAAGCGGCCATAAAACATGTTTTAAGTATTAATTTCAGTTTAAGCATAGAAGAATCAATGTCTGATTTCTTCACGGTTTGCTAGAAGGAAAAAGATGCTCATTCTCCAGCTCTTCATTTTCATACTCTGTATCAATCAGCAGTGCAGATCCATCATTGCTGAGTGCAACTTTACCAGTGATAAGTTTGCTTAGTGTTTCAAAAGTGCCACATAGTTGCTTCACTTTGGGAACAGAAAAGATTTTTGCCAGAGGCATGTAGACAGTTTGTCCATTAATGAATGGTTCAATATGTGGATTGTCAGCTTTGGTTAAAGAAGGATCTTCAACATCTTTCAGGAAACAAGATGTCAGGAATGGAGGGTCAGTTTCAACACCATCACGTACTTTCTTGTATTTGGATTTTCTTTTGTCCAATAGTCTTCTTGCAATTGTTTGTGATGTCCGCACAACTTCATTGACCACTGCAGTTTGCAAATACTTTTCATCTTTAAGGCTTGGATATACTGCTTTGAAAATCTTTAACATGTAAAAAAAATTACATATACTTAATACTTATACAGCTCATTTCAAGGATCCATAGACCTTCACATACAGAAAAATTACTATTCATGTACAGTATTTTGCATTACCGAATTATGAATCGCACCATTTCCAATCTTCAAGCCTATAACATGCTTTCAGAGTACCACCATCAAGCATAAGAGACAACTGCTTTTTAGCAAACATAAAAGCTAGTAGCAGAGTAAGACCCACTCACCTTCTTTCTACAGCACCTGCAGAATGTGGCCTACAAACCTATAGTTTTCTAACCGCAAGATCATCACCATTTACTACAATCTTTCCTGCTGCCAATTTTGCTTGGGTCATAAGCCAGCCTTGTTTAGATGTGTATATCCTACTTTTGCCCCCAATGAGGATCCAGTGACTTACAACATTCTCACCTCTGTTTTATCCTCACAACAACCATTCTGTACGGTAGGTTCAGATGAGAGTGTGTGTGACTGGCCAAAGGTCACCAAACAAGCCTCCACAACAGTGTGGATTCAGACCTGGATCTCCCAGGTTTTAGTCCAATGCTTTACTCTCTATAACGTTACAGGACTAAATTTTCATGTCAAGTTTAGATAATCCTTCTGCAATCTGGTAGTAAACTTAATAGTTACTAGAGGCAGAGACAGAGTAAAATTACCACTTTGTACAAAAACGAGGGGGGGTGGAAATTCAAGTAATGTTGAAGGAAACAAAAATAAATGTAAGCTAAGTAACACAATTATCCTGCCCTACAGTCGTCATCATACAAAAACTTCAATTCATGTTCAGAGTTGTCCACGCAACTGCTGAACATCAGTCTGAAGGTCTGTATCTGTTATCAGTGTGCCTCGCAGAGTATTTTCTTTCAATTTGTAACAATGGAAACCAATATCAGATGTTCATAAGAAGCATTTTCTTCTCATGAAATGTGCATGAGGTGTAAATAATTTGGGTGGAAATGCAGCCACTTTCAGTACCATCAAGACTGGTACCCTTGTGGACTACCTTTTGGGGTTGGGACTGGGGCAGCACTGTTTTAAGTGGTTTCAGTTAGGTTTGTGAAGGTGGTGCTGGAGGACTGCTGTTCGGCCCCTTGACTGAGGTACCCACAAGGTTCCACCTTGTCCCCCAACTTCTTTAACATCTACATGAAACTGTTAGGTAAAAAACATCCGGAGACTTTGGCTGGGCTGTTAACAATAGGCAGGTGATAGCTCTATCTTATGCTTCCAGCATATTCCATTTCTAAAATACAGAAAATTTTTAAACATTTAAAACATTTCTAGTATAACTTATGAGATAGCAGAAGGGTTCTCTACTTGTGTATCTAAGGTGCCATCAAGTCGCAGCTGACTTATGGCAGCCCCATAAAGCTTTTCAAGGCAAGAGATGTTCAGAGGTGGTTTGCACTGCCTGCCTTTGGGTGTGTTCAGACGCAGCGTTTGCAACAGTATAGGTGCCGTTGCAATCGGTGTACTTACCGGCGTTCACACGTAGAACAGCTGCCGTCCCTAAATGTTGCAAAGCCCTTTAAACCATTGTACTCTGCCACTAAGTCCCCAAGTGGTGGTATCCTGAGTACAACGGTTGTAATCGCTTAACCCCCCATCTGATTGCTCTCCACCGTTGCAGAGCCACTTCCATTCGGAAGCCTGAGGCTTCCGATTTTCGCCGGCCATTTTTTTTTTTAAAGGTTGGCGATATGCGCTTGGGTGAAGCTTCGCCCTGGCGTTTGTTTTTTAAAAAAAGAAAAGGGCCTTAGTTTAGCATTTCGGAGGTGTCTGGGACCTCAGGGAGGCTACTTTGCTCTTTAAACTTTAAAGGTAAGTCCTTACCCTTTAAAGTTTAAATGTAACACAGGGTTTTTTGCGCATGCACGAAGATCGCCATTATATGGATGGCTGCCTATGCGCATGCTCAAACTGAGTTTAAAAAAAAAACGCCGACGCCCGCTGTGTGTGGACGGGCATAAAGCGATGGGATCCGCAGACAGGAGGTGAGTGTGATCGCGTTTCAGTCGGCATAAACTGCACCAGTTCCAACCGGTACAGTTTATGCCGGCTGAAACAGCGCGTCTGAACGCACCCTTTGTGTAGCAATCCTGGCTTTCCTTGGTGGTCTCCCATCCAAGCCCTAACTAGGGTCAACACTGGTTGCTTTCAAGATCTGACAAGATCAGGCCAGGCTGGGCTATTACAATTTATGAAGGTTGTAATAAATTTTAAATTGATATGTTATGGCAATAGCAATAAATTAGTGTTCAGTTTTTATTTAGGATGTGAATAATAAATAGAACACTTAAATCACTGGTTTATATCCACAGTTGGGCAGGATTCCAATCAATCCACCATGTGGCCAATATTTTAGACAACCAAAATGAAGTACAAAAAATTATTCTTAAACACTGGGTATCATTTTAAATACCCCAGTACCTCTCCATGCTATTGGCTCATTGACTGCAAACATCAATGTTCAACTGAAGTTCAACTTCGCTCCTAGTAATTTTTTTAAATCCTGAGTGGCTGGTCAGCCATGAGGCCCTTTGACATCAACAAGGCATAATCTCAAGGGTTTTATTTCTCGTATCTTAAAGCAATCCTTTCCTATTGAATTTATTCCTCCCTTCATTATGCAGAAAATACACTTACAGTTTTATAAACATGTTCTTTGTATTCCTCAACTGTCTCAGGTTCTCCATTCTTTAGATACTTTCTCACAAATACACCTATTTGTGTACAAAATCCAACATCATCTTTTCCAGGTGGTGGGGCTCCTAATCCAGTAAATTCTACTGTGTAGTCATAGCGAGCAGCAGCATCAAGAGCCCTACGTTTTTGAGAAAACATCAAAAGAGTCAAAACAATAAGGGCATTGTCCAAACAAACCTAGCTTGCTTGTCATGAATGTCTTAGTTGCACTAGTATACTATCGTCCGTTTGTGTTTATTAAATCCTCTTAATAAGTGAGTGCTGGAATGAAAGAGGTTAATACAAGCAGCAACTACTGGAAACCCCTCACATCACAAGCATCACAAGTGATTCCCAGCCACCGTGCCTTATCAAATACCGGTGAGGACAGAAGAAAGCACAGGCAGTTCTGATAGCAGACACGGTTCTTTGCTTCCTTCCCAGCACTGCCTGTATTGATGAGACAGTGGAGGATATGAGAGTGCCAGGGAATAGAGGAAGTACATATATGTGGCCATCACACATGCATTTCCAGCTCTGGGCTTTATGGAACTCACGTCTTTGCGCACACAGATTGCAGATTGATGCGGCATCTTCCCCATAAAAGAATGAGACCATTCTGTTAAAAAGGTTAAGAATGACTAGACTGAAGGCAAGAGAAAGGAAATGTAAAGAGCAGTTGGCAACCAAAACATTGGTCAAAATGCCTATTTTGGCAAGCCCTGATCAAATAATTAGTAAAAACTTTGATAAGTAAGATGCCAAACTGTGCTTCACTCTTGGCTAGGCCAAGAGAGAGTTCTGTGGATGTGTGTGTGTCTGAAAGATACAGGAAGAAGCACCAGATATGAGAGAGAAAGAGACTGAAAGGATGTGCAAGGAAGCTTGAGGATCTGTGAGGGAGACATGGACAAATAAGGAGAGGGCTGACAGGAGCCAGAGAACCAGCAAGGGGCTTTGCAGGAGATAAAAGAAGGCTCCATGACTAAGCAATAAGGGAGGAAGAGTGTGGGAAACATGGGCCACTGTGAGAGAAAAGGGGAGAAGTTAAGTCATACCTACGAGTCCTGAAGAGCACATGTTGTCTCCTAAGTGGTGGAGGTACGCTTAGATGAAAAACCTTACCTGAAGTATATGATTAAATCCCAAACCTTATGTAACCTGATTTCCCTTGGTGGTGGTAGGGGGGTTCCAGTTCTCACAGTCAAATTAAATTATTTTATTTGCCAACTTCAGATTTCAAAGGAACATATTTCCTAGTAGAGCAAAAGCTGACTGTGACAGGTACATGAGAGGAGTTTAGCCATTATGATTAACTAATTCAGGAAGGATACTAGCTTGCTCTCTCCAATATATTAGTGACAGAAATATTAAACAGATTTTAAGGCAATATCTATTTGTCCTTCTCTGTTACAAATAACTACCCCTTATTTTTGTGACCCAAGTCTAAAACAATTCCAGTGAGCCAGGATGTTTGCCTTTAAGATTAATCTTCTTGCAGAGGGTACCTAAAAAACTCACTTTACATTTTAACTAGTTGTAGCTGGCAATTTATTCCTCTAAATCTGATCAACTACTTCTTCCCTGGCCTTTTGGCATCTGTACAATGGGTCTGAGGTGATGGGAGTGCCAGTTTGGTGTAGTGGTTAAGTGTGCGGACTCCAAGTCTGGGAGAACCAGGTTTGATTCCCCACTCCTCCACCTGCACCTGCTGATGTGACCTTGGGTCAGTCACAAGCTCTGGCACAGCTGTTCCTGAAAGAGCAGTTTGTGTCAGAGTTCTCTCAGCCCCACCCACCTCACAGGGTGTCTGTTGTGGGGAGGGGAAGATGGCGCTTGCCCTACAATCTAGATTATCATAAGGGGCCTAAAATTTCCATATGCATGGGGGCACAAGTTTCAGGTCCAGTGGCAGACCTATGAATCCACCTTAAATTATTTCTGGGGATTCCCCATCCCTCAGAAGCAGCATGGGAGGACAGTTTGGGATGCAACAAGAGAAAGCAATCAGGGAAGCTGCATGTTCATGGATGGAAGTCCTTCCTTCTGTGGAAACTTTAGGCAGAATCAGATACATCAAACTGAACTTGTAAAAAACCATTACAACTTCTAAGAATGTTAGGTAAACCTTCTATACATGTGAACAATTGAAAGAAACTTCTCATCTTTAGCCTTTGTCTTATATACCAGAATGGGCCCAGAATTTAATAATTTAAAGCAAAACTGAAGCAAAAACAATAATTAACAAACAGGTCTGTTTGGACGTGCCTGCAGTTATAGCAGGTAGCCTGGAAAAGCTTTTGCTTCTTACAGCTAGGAGGTAGGCAGCCACCAATTCTGTCTTGGTATCAAATTATACCACCAGGGAATAGAAAAAGATAGTAAGTCACCACCTACAGAAAGGTATTCTTGTCTTGAGGAATAATTTTGCATATGGTCAAATCAGTCATTAACTGACCTATTTAACTGCTCAATTGACGAATGCATCAGCCCTGCTTTCTGGAAGCCAGAAGCTTTATTAAATCTTGTATAATAAACTTACCAGTTTTGAAACTGTGCTCGACTCCATTCAAATTTATGGTCTGGATGCCTGAATAACGTTACAGTTGGAAGCAAAGGATTAAATTCTGAGTTTGGTGTGCTAATTATAATCATGGCTGGAGACATAAAACCAAATACCACCTCCGGAAACTTCTCCAACTCTTTTATCTCCAGGTGTTCTATTCTGAAAGTATAAATTAACAAAGGACTTTGAAATCCAGCCAGATCTTTTCACCTTCCTGACCAACTGAGTACATCTTTAATAATGCAACTAAACTACACCGAAGTAGTTATTTTGAATTGATATAAAAATATTTGCTGAGCATATAGTTAATACATGATCTATACTTTTTATCATGAACATATAAAGCTACTTAATACATGATCTACTGACCACTGGGGATGCGGGGGAGTGAGCATGGAATCACATGAAGCTACCTTATACTGAGTCTATAAAGGTCAGTACTGCCCAATCTGGTGGGCTGCAGCTCTCCAGGGTCTCAGGGAAAGCTCTTTCATATCATGTACAATCTGATCCTGTTAACTGGAAATGTCAGGGATCAAACCTGGGACCTTCTGTATGCAAAGCAGATGCTCAGCTCCTCAGCATCAGCATATACTCTGTTTCTTCCATCCATATTCTCCTTGAATGTTAGACCCCCCCATCTTGCTGTACTCTACTTTTCACAATTCACATCTCTGTATCCTTTGCCCCCTAAGTACAGTGCCTGCATTAAACAGCAAGAATGTGAGTAGAATCTAACCCTCCTAACTACATTAATTTGTGCAATTATGTTAAAATATAACCTAAGAAGTTCATGTAAAAGGAGTATACCAAATCAACATTATTTATGAGCAGAAGCTTAGAGTCAAGAGGTTCTCTAAAGAGTATGAAAAGCCCTTTTTAAAATGGTATTTTAGTAGAATACTCACAATTCAATACATGTTACCATGTCGAAGCCCAGCATATGGGGGTCTTTCTGAGCAACTGAACCCTGATGAAGGATAACAGTCAGTGATCTTTCAGATGGCTGAAGAAAGTCACCGGGAAGGGGATACAGCATATGCCTAAAACCATACAACATGTATGTGTAATGGAAGAATCTCCAAGGAGACAAGTTTTATCACTTCAAGAATCATCTGCACTTACTGTCATCAGGAGTTGGAAGACATTTGTAATGAAAAAGAACTGTACAATGCAATGATTAAATTTTAGTATTTCTCCCCAAACCAGTAAAGTTCAAAGGGCAACTAGATAATACTTGTGAGTCAGCCATGCTAGTCATGCCGGCCACATCACCACGGAAATGTCTCTGGACAGCGCTGGCTCTTTGGCTTGGAAATGGAGATGAGCACCGCATCCCTACAGTCGGATTCGACTGGCTTTCGAACAAGGTAAACCTTTACCTTTTACTAGTTCTCCTTTAATTTGACAACAGCATATACCAGGAGACATATATTGAAACAATGACCCAAAATCTTAACACAGAAATATCTTACTTAATACGATTTTATAACACATCCAGTAGGATTAATTTATCTTGGTATCCTGAGGGATGGAGCAGGAAACAACTTTGGAGACAAAGGATTCTCACATAGACATAGGGTCACACAAAAAGGGCTAGGTGAAGTACTGGAGATAGAACGGCAATTCACCAAGTGGCCTCTGAATAGCTTTAGAAATGCAGATACTACACCTAGAGGAACCTGCCTTCATTGTCGCTGTTGGAGAAGGGGAGGTTGAAGATTGCCTTTGAGGGATGCCTTGTATGAAAACCTGAACATGAAATCCCCTTTTTGCAGAGTGTTCACACACTGACTCTGAGGTTCAAGCTGAGGGTGCTTGACTTTTGGGGGACTTTGGTTCAGGTCAATAGCTGGGTGCCCCTGCTATATGGCAGCATATACCACACATATGGCAGCACCTCTGGGCTACACAGACATTTCTGTGCATAGCTCTTCAGTTTTTCACAAATCATTGTACGGCCCCACATTTGGGGGAGCTAACTCTATAAACACAAGTCCTATTTACAAGAGCTATTTTGATCTCTTAAGGGTACCCTACCCTGGCTAGGCAGTCTGAAGGCCAAACTAGATGTGGCATCTGCCATGAGTCAAGTCAGGTTTCCTTGACCTGCATTAGACAGACATAACATTGGGGGACTAACATGCTCCAAGGCCTCGGTAAGTGCTTTCCTTTAGTACATACATACTGAAAATACGACAACATTTTAAAAAATGAAATGGGGACACTTTCTTCAATGTGGCATCGTCAAACAAAAGCAAGATATACAATATTTGCTTGACACTTGGCAGGGAGAACTCCTTGGGTGATAAGTATAGTCCCCAAGAATTTCATCCCAGCTAGGTGACAGGGAAAAAATCGGCCTCTTCCACTTAAGCCAAAAGAAACAAAGAACCCCAAAAGGAGTGATAACTATAAAGAAAATGAATAAGGAAGATCAAATTAATCCAATAAAATTTCTGTACACATCCCCAGCACAGCCAGGGGCTATAGCAGAACCAGCATCAGCTATAGATCAGTGTTTGCCAACCTGTGGGTTGGGACCCAAAAGTGGGTCACAAAGCCTTTGGAAGTGGGTTGCAGGCCACCCTTCTCTAATGGCCACTCCTGCCTTTTGCAGAATTCTTTCTCCCCTTGTCCTCGTCAACTTCTCACATTCTTGCCCTCCACCTCCCCTTCATGACAATTATACGGGGGGGGGGGGAATCTGTCTGGAAACTAATAACTTTGCAGCTGGAAGGAGGGGGAAAATGCTGGAGAGTTCCTGCCAATCTGCTTCAAAAGGAAGACAACCAAATTACTGCAATACAAAACACAACTTTTCCAAATGAATTTTTTTCCTTACATTTTTTCCTTCATCACATCCTCGCTGATATCTAATCCAACAAGCATTTCAATACAGTTGCAGAATTTCAGCATCCACAGCAGTCTACAGTCAGCACATCCCAAGTCTGCCACCTGTAAATTAGAATTTGGAATAGTGGTTTCTAGGGTTATATTTAAAACTGGTGTGACTTGCAGGTCATTATAGTCTGAGATAGTAATCAAACAACATCTCAGGGCTTCTCTACATTAGTCAATCTAATGTGCAATGGTGCAGAGTTGAAAACAAATAAATACATGACTGATCTGCCTACACTAAAAATATACCTAGAGACCTGTAGTAATACAATAAAAACCTGTTTTGCTGTTGTTCTAGCATTAGCACTTTAAAAAGAAGTACCCCTCACTACCGCTTACAGCTACAGATAAACCTCCAACTAGGCCACTGTTACTGCATTGCCCCCCTGCTGTCTTTCCCCATTCCCTCTGAGATGCAAGATTACAAATACCTCAGAAAGCCTATCTGCCATATGACTCTCCCACCTGGTGTGAAGGGGAAAGGTAAATGGTTCCATACACATTAATGTAAGTAGAATGCACAATAATCCATTTCACCATTCAGATGTTTTGTAAAGAAAAACCCACAGGATGCTAACAAGCTAGGCATCATGCATCAACAGAACGCAGCAAGAAAAAAAGAATACACCTACACTGCAGTTTAGCTGCTGCTGACAGAACATCAGCTGAAGACCAAGACCATTACATTTGTAAGTTGATGTTTCTGGAATCAAGGCCTTTCCATTCTGTGCCTGCCCCCCCCTCCCTCCCTCTCCCTCCCTCTCTCTCTATATATATATGCAATAAATGCATATCAGTTGAACACAATCTGGATCAGGCCATTGTGGTGCTTCTGTGGTAAAGATACTGCATTTTCTAAGCACAGTCTGGAAAAAATTAGATTTTTTTTTTCTGATAAAAGACTCATCCAGATCATAGGTGGCCATTTTACCTACATATGCTTTCAGTCTATTTTATGAAATATTGAATTTAGCCACTGAAGAAAAGGACGCTTTAATGATCTTCAAATGGGATTTTGCTTATGGTAGTTACTTGCCCTCCAGCCACCAGGTAATATTACCCAATTTACTTCTGCTGTCTTATGAGGGACCATGTGTCATTTATTCCTGGAGAGGCTATTTAACTGCAGCTTTTTATATTTAGAAAACTATTTCCTTTAGTGCAAACTGAAGATGTTTTGTATCCAGCAATATCAAATCCATCTAAGTATGCAACACACCTTCCACTCCGTTTTAAGACAACAAGCTGCAGACGTGGTGCCTTTTCACTGTGATTCGAAATAATTATTCCCCCCCACCCATACACACACTTCTTTTTTGCACTGAACAGTCAGATTAAGAGTTCTTGAAAGCCCAAGAACCTTGCACACCACCTGGTAATATTTTGGTTGGTCTTAACTGAAAGTATTACATGACGTTAGCTATTGGAATTTCTCTTACATGTGTAATTGTTACATACAGTCTTTAAGCAGACACTGTGAGTGACCAGAAATCTTCCCTACGCTTGCCAATATGCAAACATTGTTTCTGGTTTAAGCAAAGCAAGTCTTTTACAGCCTATCATGCTGTCCCACACTGTACACTTCCTCCAGGAACATCAGCAAGACTGTGCCTCTAAGGAATGACAATCCTGAAGTCACTAAGTATAAACAAATATTTTCCAAACACATACCAACCTTTTTGGGCTTATGCTTGTTCACTAATTGTTTAATGAACTGGTAGCGTTGCTTGTACAATGGTGGTGTGAATTTAACTGTCCTTGTAAGTTCATCTTTTCTCAGCTTTTCATCCATAATCAGCACTAAAATCATATAGAACAGTAATGTTTCTTAAATACTATGTTTACACCAAATGTCCTGCATATTGCCATTTCTTATGCTTATTCTGCAGTAATGCAAACTTTGCAGAGAGCAAGACTTGAACCAAGTGAGAAGCTCAACAAGTATTACAGCTGTTTGGGTAAGCTAACATTTAATACCACTTGTTAGCATATTCTGTTGACTTTTCTCTTTCCTTCATGAAGTGGTATGCAATACCGTCTTCATTAGCCTCACTTAAAATATATTATGACTTATACAATAAAACTATTCATATTGTGTTATTGTTAGTACATTTTAGACACAAGAAGGCTGACTACAATAATCTTTACACATTTAATATACAGAATAAGACTACTGCTAGAAAGGCCTATCCCTACATGAGCCAAGGCAAGATTTCCTTGGAAGTAAGCTACTCTAAAAACCAATGTTTTTCCCCTCAGAAAATACACTTAAGAATGAGATATAAATGTAAATTCATCTTTCAAGAACCATAGTTCTAAACAGACTCTGCATGCAGCAGATAAGCACTTTTTAGAACAGTGTTCAGGCTTTCCACTTGCTACAAAGACTGCAGGCAAGTTTAAGTAGCATGAGCTACAAAATTAACCCCAAAAAGTGTTTTGCGTTTTGACTGGGTACTGATAACACAAGCTTAATGAGACTGTCTCATCACGATGATCTTTTGGACTACATAAGTCAGAAATTTATTTTGGTCTGCTTATTCTATTCTACATAAGTATCATCCATAGAAGACTTTGATCACTTTCTGAGAACTGCGTGATTTGAATCCCGCTCTTCAACTGCAGTGCAAATACTATATTATTTTACACTGTCGGGCACAAGAAATCAGTGAATCAGCTCACACCACATAGCACACCCCACACGTTAAGCACTCTTCCTTCTTCTCCCCATTAGTAAAATTGCAACACTTGCTCCTGCATTAGACCCCCCTCCCTCAGAATCCAAAATCAGCCACTGGGGCCCTGCGTCAAGCAACCTACAGAGGCACCCTCAATATTGAACGCTATTCCCTAGGAAGTTTGTCACACCTCTTTCGAGTTGCATTATTATTATTATTATTATTGAGTATGGGTAGATGTGTGCCAGCCAGCCATCTTTTCAAGACCCTAACTGTTTTTTTAACTCTAATTTATTTTTAACCTAGGAGTTGATTTATAAATTCCTCTTATATTTTTAATGACAGAACAGTTAGAATAAACTACATACATTTTACTTTTTAAAAAAGAGGTATGGCGTAACTGCATTGTACTAACGCAAGCCACTTTAATTAGTCCATAGAGTCACATGAAGATGCATGAAAATAAGCTTCTTAAAACGCAGAACTGCCCTTTCCCATCATTTAAACGCCTAACTCCCTATAACTCAGCAGTTTGCTTCCCCACCACCCACACGCATCTTATCTGCTAACCCATACCCTAACCCAGAAGATTTTCACTCAACACCCCCACCCTTATTTCTTCACAGTCAGCCCTCTGGGCTTGTTGATCTCGTTCCTTCTCTCACCCGAATTGCTAACACTAGGCAGCGGCTTCCCCGTACCGCCAACAAAACTGTTGCAACTACCCGGCTTCCCCCAGTCCTCTACGCAGCTCCACCCCAACGCCCAACGTACGGGAACGGAAGACGGCAACCGTAGGTCGTTCACTCCTCCCCCTTCTCGTGCTGCCGCGAAGGGTTTCTGGCTACAAAAACTTATTCTGTTAGAGCAGCTAAGCCACCTGCGGAGCTCCCGTCGCCCGGAAGCCAAAGGCCTTCTGTGTTCTTGGCGTAAAGGAAATGGACAAGCCCCTTTCTTACCACTATGAAGCCGTACCGAACCGCGGACTTCAGAGCTCACCCCAAAAAGCCACACAACCCATTGTCTGTTTACTCAGAAGTCCTAGAGCTCCAGTGGGCTTCCTTACGAGAAAGAATTCACTATATCAGAGCCGCTTCAGCCATTCCTTCCTCTCCACGCTCCCAACCTCCATTCCCCCAAGCTTTAAAAATGCGCCTTATCGTGCTATCTTCCTCTCACACATGGGCACAATCAGATCGTCACCTTTTCTTGACACAGGTGCCACTAAAGCTTTTTTTTAAAGCATTTTCTGTTTCTTCTAGCAGTGGTATGAGGCGGCTAACAAATCCAACAGGTGCAGCTTTTGTTGCAGTGATGACGGAAATCATCTCCTGTACTCCTTGGTGTCCTGCAGCTGTTTAAAGGCACAGGTCCGAGCCTCAGGTGTTTCTATCATCCACCAAGGTTTGATCACTTTAATTTAATGGGATTTATAAACCAGTACTTCTAATGTATGTTAAGTTGCCAACCTCCAGGGGGTGGCTGGAGATCTGTTATTACAATTGCTCTTCAAATGACCAGGATCAGTTCCCCTGGAGAAACTGGGTGCTTTGGAGGGTGCAGCTCTATGGCATATACCCAGCAGAGGCCCCTCCCCAGCCTGTGCTCCAAAATCTCCCAACCTAAAGTTGGCAACCCTATTATATGTGCAATTTCCATTTCAAACAACTAATTGCTGGGACTGACCTACTTTAGGATGACTTGTTCTAGAATACTTTGGAGAATCAGTGTGGTACAATGGCTGGGAAGCTCTGACTCTGAAAATGTTATACTCCAAAAATCTTGAAGGTCTCTAAGGTGCTACTGGACTCCAATCTGGCTGTTGTACTGCAGATCAACAGGGAGAAAGGCCTGGAGATCCCTCAGAATTACACTGATCTCCAAAGGACAGAGAGCTGTTCTCCTGAAGAAAATGGCTGCTTTGGTGGCTAGACTCTATGCCACTATAACCCCCAGGACTCTCCCTCCCTAACCACAGGCTCTCCAGGCTCCACCCCCAACCCCCCAAGAGTTTCCCAACCGAGAGCTGGCAACTCTAGGTTGGGTTGTTGGACTAGGACTTCGGAATCCTATATTAACTTTACCACAAAGCACTCTGGGTGACCTACCTCCAGGTGGTGGTGGGAGATCTCCTGCTATTACAACTTATTTCTAGATGACAGAGATCTATAAACCTGGAGAAAATGGCCTCTTTGAAAGGTGGACTCTATGGCATTATACCCTACGGAAGTCCTTCCCGTCCCCAAACCCTGCTTTCCTCAGGCTCCATCCGCCAAATCTCCAGGTATTTCCCAATCCAGAGCTGGCAACCTTAGTCTTGTGGCACATTAAAAACTAATAATTTGAATGGTATGTCTTCTTGAGAAAATGGTGTGTCTTCTTGAGAAAAAATAAATATAAGACAGTGTCTTATTGTCGGGAAAACACGGTATATACAGGGGTCATTTCGTAGAAAAAGAGCTAGGGGAACTCATTAGCATAACTCATTAGCATATACCACACCCCCTGACATCACCGGAAGTGTGTCATAAGGCCACACCCCCTGACATAAGGCCACACCCCCTGACATCACCGGAAGTGTGTCATAAGGCCACACACCCCACCCCCAACGGTCCTGGTCGCCGCCGCCGGCCTTGCAGCTCCACTGCTGAGCCCCATGAGGGGCCCGGCGGTGGACCTGCAAGGCCAGCGGGAGTGCAAGGAAGCCCCGCGAAGGCCCTCCCTGGCCGCTGGCAGGCAGGGATGTGGAGAGGCAGGGAGGAAGCAACTTACCCTTCCTCTTCTCCTGCCTCCTCCTAGCTGAATGAGGGCCGGAAGCGGGGCGGCCAGAAGCAGGGGGGGGGGCTTCGTCATGTGCCCCGCCCCCAGTACCTCACCCGGGGGAACTGCGTTCCGCCGCATTCCCCCCCGAAATGACCTCTGCCTGAAAGACGCAGGCCTGATGATCTGGTTTCTGTCGCTGATCACAGTCCCAGTTTGGGGAAGATAACTAGTTACTGACTTCACTGGTACCCAGGGTTGGCAGCTCTGGGTTGGGAGATACCTGGAGATTTGGGGGTGGAGCCTGAGGTCGGTGGCCTTTGGGGAGGGGAGGGACTTCAATGGGGTATAATGCCATAGGGTCCACCTTCCAAAGCGGCTACTTTCTCCATGTGAATTGATCTTTGTCGCCTGGAGATCAGTTGTAATAGCAGGTCTCCAGCCACCACCTGGAGGTTGCATGTGGCTGTCCCCTGGGCTCTTTACTGCGGGAGCTCTTGCTCCTGTGCATTCCAGCAGGAAATAACCCCTGTGTACATATGTGTGTGTATGTATATATATATGTGTGTGTGTGTGTGTGTGTGTATACACACTAGGGAGAAGGCCCGTTGTGGTAAGGAAGACAACAAGCCCTAGAGAGGCCGCGGTCCCCTTGTTTGTTCCTGCACCCAAAAGACCGCCGGCCGAGGCCCCAGCAGGCCAAGCCAGAAGCAGTCGCCCATTTCCTGGACCCGCTGGAGGCGGTGGCGGGCTTGGGCGCCAAGCGTCCTCCCCCCTGATCAACACCCAGCAGCATCAGCTGTGTGAGGCTCATCGGCCTCGACTCCCCCCCATTCAAGGTCCTGGTGGGCCAGGGCGCCCAGCCTGGCCCTTCCCGCTAGTGCGGCTCCCCACAGCCTCAGCTGCCTCAACAGCACCAGACTCAGCAGGCTCGTCGCCCCCCCCCCCCCCCCCCCGCTGGAGGCCCCAGCGGGCGAGGCCACCCCGCTTTGTCCCTTCCCTTGGTGCAGCTGTCCCAATCCCCAGCGACAGTGGCAGAGTGACCATCCTCCTCCCTTCTCCCTCCCCCTTGAGCACCCCACCAGACCCTTCCCTCATCGTCCTTTCCCTCGCCGCAGCATCTGTCCTGTGTGCCTGAGATGAAGTTGTCTTGTGAGTTGAGTTCCGGCGCCTGCTGCCTCTGTGGGCAGGACGTAGCCAACCCAGCCAGTTGCCAGGGACCCGTTTGTGAGTGGCAGTCCAGGCGACCAACTGATTTTGGCGTGAATCAAATCCTGCCACCCCATAGGAGAGAGGGCACCCCAAATCAGCTTTATAATATAGAGAGATACCATTTCCATGTCTTCACAATGCACGTCTGGC